AGAGAGGGAGACACAGAATCTGAAACAGGCTCCAGGCTCTGAGCCATCAGCGCAGAGCCTGACGCGGGGCTCGAACTCACAGACCGCGAGATCATGACCTGGCTGAAGTCGGACGCTTAACCGACTGCGCCACCCAGGCGCCCCAATAAACATTTAAAAAACAGTAGAGAAGCGCAGCTCATTTCTTGGTGTCTGACTTCATGTTGCTGGCTTTGATTAGCTCTGGCATGTAGAAAGTGAGGCTGAGCTTGTAAAGGTAGTACATAGTACTGATAACTCATTGTTGTGCAGAAGACTCAAAACTTTCAGGACTTCTTGAAAAGCAGGGGTAGTAACAATCTTAAGAGCTTATAATAGACTAGATTTAGTAAAGAGAAGTAATGGAGACTAAAGATCAGACAAGCCAGATTTCCATGTGATACCACTGTGCAGAAGTCAGTAATGCTTGTCTTTCACTTTGATCTGTTTCTGTAGCAAGAAAGAAATTCCTGTGTTTAATTTTACCATCCATGAGATCCACTGTCAAAGGAACATTGGTATGTGTCCTATCTGCAAGGAACCGTTTCCCAAATCTGACATGGAGAGTCACATGGATACAGAACATTGTCAGGTGAACCACCCAAGTACTCAAATGTTCATACATGTATTATACTTGCTGTTTTGCAGTAGCAAGTGATTATGTTGTCACAAAGCCAATTTATTGTCACTTCTTATCATAGGTGACCTGCAAATGTAATAAGAAGTTGGAGAAGAGGCAATTAAAGAAGCATGAGGTTAGTTTTCCTGCACCATGAAGAGAGTGCGTTATCATAGGGCCAACATTACTGAGATTACTGACCTAAAAGCGTTTTATTTACAATTTCAAAATAAGTATGAAAGTTTTGTCCTTCATCTGCTGAGTATGTATACTCTTGGGGTCATCTTCATTGGTAATTCCTGGTTTATTCAATCAATTTAAAGCCAGTGCTATATACAAATGTGCAGATTAGAGAAATCAGTGTCTTTCTGAAGAACAGCCTGTTTTCCTCATTACCAGGTATTTAAGAGATTGGAATGGTAAAGGGAAATTAGGCTGGTGTAACTTTGACAAACATATATGAATTGCTATGCTTTTGCTATTTGCTCCTGGGCACCTCTGATTTTAGGTTACTTTGTAATGTGTGCAAAAAATGATGATAGGGTGGCTGAGTAGATTCCTTTTAAGAATTTCTTTCCCTCTGTAGAATCTGGTGACAGGGACCAAGAGGGAAGCTGTGACTCTTTTTTTTTTTTTTTT